TGCAAGTATTCCAAAATCTAAAAAAAGCTTTTCTCTAAAATACTTCTGGTCCCAAGTGTTTTGGATAAGGGATCCTCTACCCATATTTGCGAAATATCCTTTCCCTGTAACCTCTTCTCCACGTCTTCATAATGAAATTAAGAAGTCAAAGCAGCAACCAGGGCGAGCCAGCTCCATTGCATGGGGGTAATATGCTACTCAAGAGAAGCCAGATCCCATATGTTGATCACTGTTCAAATCCACGAACTACTTCCCTGACACGTGCCAGGCACATGGCCAAGTGCCCAAGACCCAACAGGCTGCAGGGCTGGAGGAAAGGGTCATGGAATGACCCAACCCAGGATCACACCCTGTAGCGGGTGCTTCTCTCTGTCTCTCTCCTTGACCTGTCTCTGTTATGAATAACAATAATAAAAGTATAAAGATTAAATGGAAAACCTACATGTATGGTAAGCATTAAGCCAGTCAAAAGAGGTGTTCTTTTGCTCTCATTGCTAGTTAGAAGTTGGGCACATTCAGAAAAAAATATATGAATACAAACGGCCATTCATCCTCAGGAAAACTGCAAGTAGGAGCCAGTCCTGTCAAACAGCTCTGAAGCCCTGTCCCTAGGGAGCCAGATCCCACATAACGCCAGCCCCAGCAGCTTCAAAACACACCAGCATGTGTGTGTGTGTGTGTGTGTGTGTCCCAATCCTGAGAGAATAGAGAAATGAAGCAAAAGGGATTGCAGCATGATCATGCCCTACTAGAGCATTCTCCCTCCCGGGGAAAACACACCAGCATGCCTCTCCCTCTCTCCCTCTCTCTCTCTATGGCACATGCACACGCACATAATCACAAGTAGATGAATTTGGAGGTGTTAGCTTCTACTTGTTCTCAAGCCAGATGGTGCTACCTTCTCATGGAGAGCTATCCACTGTCTGCGGCTAATGATGACTGATTCTCTTTCAGTTCCAGCAAATTCGCAGCTGTTGGCTTTCACAGAGCTCTCACAGCAGAACTTAAAGCCTTGGGGAAAACTGGTATCAAAACCTCATGCCTTTGCCCTGTTTTTGTGAATACAGGGTTCACCAAAAACCCAAGCACAAGGTAAGGTCAAAATCAAGGTAGGATGGGCAGGGCAGACGGTGGCACGGTGGTAGGACATGACACTCCACGAGGCTGGCTAAGGATAGATTCCACGTTATTGTCCAGAGGTCACCCTGAGTACACCAGCATGTGTGTACCCGTGGTCCACAGCTGCATCATGACATCAAGACCCTGGTGGGGTCTTTCTCTCTCTCTCCCCCTAGGAAGAAATAAATAAACCTTTACAAAAATACTAGTTAAGATGGGAATATAGAGTGAGCTATTGGTATGAAAACTACATGAATAACTTCTAGGTGAGTAGCTTGGTCAACTGAGAAAAGGAAAAAAAAAGAAAAAAGAAAATATTTTACCTATTAATGTTATTTATTGGTTTTAAATTTTCACTTTTAAATTAGATAAAGGGAAAATTTTCAAAGCCAGCAGGAGTGGTCAGTGAACAATGATTACCGATACCCAGTAACTAGGTATTTATTTGCATTCAAGAAATGGTTCAACACACATGTAGGTGCCAAGAAGCTCTGGGAGTGGGTGGGTGAGCTGGAGAGGTGTGTTTCCCGACCCGGTGACCTGAAATTCACACTGGGCACATGTGCATGCATGCTTATAATCCCAAAAGAAGAGTGAAGAAGGGATTTTGGTGTAGCCATTCCCCCGGGGATTAATTTCTCACTTTCCCTCTCACTATCTCTGTCTCTCTCTCTCTCTCTCTGTCTCTCCAGCGAGTGCACACATGCTAAGGCAAAAACCTCTAAAAAAATTTTTTTTAAAAGAAAAGAAAAGAAATAGTGAAACTCCTTCCAGGAAACACCATGTGAATGATACCTAATATTCCCTCTCCTGTTAATGGTTCACCTTCCTCAGACAGAGTGTGGAAAGGTATGGGTATATGCTCCTTTTATAACTTCCACAGCACTGGCTAGAATGGTAGCATAAAGAATTTTAACAGGACTTGCCCTATAGCCTAGTGGTTATGGCCACTAGGCCAACTACAGCTGGCCAACCACAGCTCGAATCCCAGCTCTGGTGGCTTAAAATACAGGTTAGGCATGTGTGCATATATGCCCCAAATCTTGAGAAGATGGACAGTAACTTCGGAACCGGGTGGCATAGTAGTTAAGGCACTGGATTCCCACATAATGGACAATGGTTACAGTTCTCAACCCAGTGGCTTGAAACTCACGCCGAGCACGTGTGCATGCATGTCTAAAGTCCCACAAAGAGAATGAAGAAGAAGGGATTGTGGCATGGCAATCCTCTCTGGGGAGTGATTTCTCACTTTCCTTCTCACAGTCTGTCCAGTGAGCACATGCGCCCTAAGGCAGAAACCTCTTAATTTAAAAAAAAAAAAAAAAGCAAATGGGGCAAACAGGTGCAGTAGTGGTTAAGGTGCTTGACTCCCACATAGTTGACCACAGTCCATGTTCAGCAGCTTGAAACACACCAAGCAAACACACCCAAAAAAAAAAAAAAAAAACCCTTAAAAAACCCCGCAGTTTCTAAGAGCAAAAATAAATTGAGTCCCATGCTCCTTAGTCAAGGTGGATTTCTGCAAGTCTGTGGTAAGAGAGGACTGGAGGCGATAAAAGAGGAGAAACTGGTCTAAAAGAAGAAGAAAAAAGAGAGGTAAAGGCCCTAAAATTAAACCTTCCACTTCACATATTTGCCTCCATCCCAGTGTGTATTCTGCGGCAGGTGAGAAAATACTCACTAAACTTGCCAAGCAGAAATCAATTTAGCACTGGAAGGGAATTCATTCTCAGTATATTTGTTCGAAAGAGCTAACAAATTCTCCTTGGAGCTCAGCCTGTTGTGAGGTTTCTGACTCTTCAACACTGCAGCCCAACCCTTGTCCACCACCGGAGTCCTTGACTGTCAGCCTGTGGGTGTGTGGTATGGACGCACTATGTAAGTACGTACCATGGCGACTCCAGGCTGGTTTCTTAGGAAACTGTGTCCAGTCAGGCTTAGTGTTGAATGAGCTCTGCTGAGTACTCTGCCGCTCTTGGAGAAGGCACACCAGATGAGAAATGTAAGGATGATGGGGCCCTGCGTAGTGTGGGTGCATGGGGCTGACCCTCAGGGCAGACACAGGCAAGGCTAAAGATTTGGAATTGGTCTCCCCCAGGTTACTGGATTCTGAATTTTCTTAGCAAAAGCTAACCCATTTACCCATTTATCTGGCTAATGTCTCTCTTGTGTCTGAGACTAGGTTGATAGATTCAGATAGAAAAAAAAAAATCAGGGAAAGAAGAGACAGAGTCCAATAACTTAGAAAAGTTTCCATTTGTATTTGACTCTCTGCTGGGTTTCCACGCAGCACCATGGAATCCTTCCTCATATAATAATCTGCAAGAAATCACAGTATCTGAGGGAATAAAGTTTAACCATCGCTTATTACTCAACTTCTCTAATACCTGTTCTTATTCATTAGCCATTCAGCCCCTGCCTAGATGTCTCAACTTTGGACGACCTTTTAAATCTATTTACATTTTAATTTTCTGTCATCATCTTGCACAATGGGCCATTCTACCCTGGGTTTGTGTCTACTAGTATTTCTCAGGAATATATATGCACGGCTTCCATGTAGGGAAGGTCACGCTCTCGAGTTGGAAAACAGTACCCCTTCTGCACACCTGAACTTCTCGTAACCTCCAGGCTAGGCAAGCCCCAGTGCATCTCCAAGTGCTAAGTGTTCTTGAAACAATCTAGCCTTATAGAATCCTCACACACACATACACACACACACACACAACAGCGTATACTTAGCTCTAGAATAATTAGTGTCAGCAGGCCATCTTATGATTCATAGTGCCCACCACTCTTCCTCGCCTGGTTTCTCCACTCCTGACTCTCTAATGCTGCTCCACCCATTTGATATTTTGACTGAGTGAGCTACAGGATATGAATGAGACCTACAGAATATTAAAGTATAACGATCACGATAACAGAACTTCGGTATGGAATGTGGGCAAAGGAGGAAGAGTGGCAATTGTCCAGCAAATCCTGAAACGCTGGAAATCCTAATTCTAAATTTGATGAAAAGGCATCTTAATTTTCCAGCCTTTGTTCATTGAAATAATAATAATAAGGTTTTTTTCCCTCTCTATGCACAGAATATGGCCTGTGTTGGAGACAGATGAAGTTGTAAGAAGTCTGATAGATGGAATACTTACAAATAAGAAAATGATTTTTGTTCCGTCGGGCATCAGTTTCTATCTAACACTACTGAAGTAAGTATAATACAGCACAGAAATATTACAACCCAAAATACGAGGACATCAATAGAACTGTTATTATGGAGAGCCCTTCAGTTGTGACAGTTGCCATGGAAACTCTCCATCCCTGGGGAGAACGGGAAAGTTTTCTTTGTTATTGCCTTCCCCAATCTATAAGAAGGATGATTCTGTTGCAGAACGGGTGGGGGTAACTGGACCAGAAGGCAGGTCTGTGCCAGTTTAACCAATACTCCAGAGGCAACGTTGGTGAAGAAGAAAAGGCCAACGCCTCTTATTTAGAGAGGCCGACGCCAGGGAGATTGTAGACCTGAGTCCAAGGTTATCGCCCAAGTTTTGGGTAGAGCACAGAGCTTCTATAGAAGAGGTTAGTGCATACATACTTCTAGAAGCAAAAGGGCAAGTTATCGTGGTCCCACGTGAACTCTCAAGGTCTGGTCGCTGTCTCTGGGCAAAATCATATAGAATCCTGCTGGCCACAGGGAGATTAGTGTTTGAAGAGCTGTCCTTCCATTTCCCCATATGGAACATTTTCCTTGTTCTGGTCTGTTTCAAGTCTCTTGCAATGATCTCAGAGATAAACAGTGATTGAGAAAGCAAAATGAAGTCTGTCAAGACTTAAATTCTGCTTTAGATATAGCTAAGGTGGGCCAGCAGGTGGCATAGTGGTTAAGGTGTTGGACTCCCACATGATCAACTGTGGTTCAAGTCTTGAATGTGGCAGTTTGAAATTCACACCAGGCACATGTGTGTGTGTGTGTGTGTATGTGTGTGTGTGTGTGCCCAAAATCCCAAGAGGAGGAGAAGGGATTGCAGCATGGCTATTCCCCCTGGGGGGTGATTTCTCACTTTCTGTCTCTCTGGCAAGCATACGCACCCTATAGCAAAACTCTCTCTTAAAAAGAAAGAGCAAAGGTTTACATGTGGCTTTGCCGTTTGAGCTAATGAGCTGGTAGCAGCCTCCTCTTCCCTATCTTCACAGCCTGCTATCTGCAAAGACTCAGCAAGGTATTTTTAACTTTCACTGGTTAATCATTGAGCTGGATCCATTGTGAGGGAGGTGGAAGATTGGGATCTGTAAGGTTCACAGTGGGGAAAGTGGAAGACAGCAATTAAAGACTGATTTTCCTAAGGGTTAATCCAAGACTAAGCATGATATGGAGTCACTTCGGTTCTCAGACCACTTGGTTACGATTCATTTCCTCTACCATCTCTGCTGATCTTTGCCAAAGACTATTCTAATTTAAAGAAAGACCATTTAAAAAGAATATAATATAGAAAGTAGGAACCAGCAGGTGGTGTGGTGGGTTAAGGCACTGGACTCCCATGTGGACAACTGTGGTTTGGGTCCTGGACCTGGTGGCTTGAAACTCCCACTGGGAGCCTGTGCGGACACACCCAAAATCCCAAGAGAAGAGTGGAGGAGAAGGGATTGTGGTGTGGCTCTCCTCCGAGGGGTGATTTCTTACTTTCTCTCTGTCTCTGTCTCTCCGGCAAGCACATGTGCCCTAGATAGCAAACCCCCTCCCCCCAAAAATAATGCAGTAATTAAGGCTCTATTTTTTATTGGGCCGTTGGAAAAGTCATGACGTAGTTTTCTCTTTTTCTATGCAAAAATGCATTTTGACTTTTCAACAAGCCAGTGAAAGCCTACTGGTATTTGATTAGGACTACATTGAATCTATAGCTCAACAGGGGAAGACTTGACATTTTAATAATATTAAATATTCTAATCCAAGAACATGGTGTATCTTCCCTTTGTTCTTAATCTTCAACAATTTTAAGCAATAGTTTGTCATTTTTGGTGTTTGTCTTGCAAATATTTTCTCAGATTATTCCATATATTTCATGGTTTAATGCTATTGCAAATGGTAGTGGTTTTTTGTTTGTTTGTTTGTTTGTGGTTTTTTTGAGAGGTTTTTGCTATAGGGTGTGTGCACTCGCCAGAAAGACAGAGAGACAGAGAGATAGAAAGTGAAAAATCACTCCCCCAGGGGTGATGGCCACGCCGCAATCCCTTCTCCATTCTCCTCTCAGGATCTTGGGCATGCACGCACACGCGCCCAGCGTGAGTTTAAGCCACTGGGTCTGGGACTCGAACCACAGTTGGCTACATGGGAGTCCAGCGACATAGCCATTACGCCAACTGCTCATCCCTCAAATGGTAGTTTAAAAATCGAGTTCCAAAATAAGAAAATGAGCTGAGTGGTCTGGTGCTTTCTTGAGATGTGCATATAATTCAAACTGAGTACCAAAAGACATAAATGCAAAAAAGAGAGAGAGGAAGTTGCAATGGAAGAGAGGAGTATTAGATGCAAACCAGATAACTCTTAGGGTATTTTAAGTGACAACAAACAGAAAACAAAACAAAATGACTGGTGTCAAAGATTTTTAAACTGTGGGCCAGCAGGTGGTATGGCGGTTAGGGTGCTGGGCCCCCACATGGCTAACTACAGTTCAAGTCCTACACCCGGTAGCTTATTTTCTAACATTCTCTCTCTTTCTGGTCAAATTAATAATAATAATAAAACAAATCATTATTTTTAAAAGATTACTAAATTGAACATTTTTTGTTTTAAAATTTTTCATGCAGGTTTCTTCCCGAACGTGCCATAGCAGCTCTACAGCACATACAGGATATTCAATTTGAAGCAGTGGTTGGCCATAAAACTAAAATGAAATGAATAAATGAGCTCCGGTGAGAAACATAGGCACGTTAATGATAGGACGCTAGAGTCTATGCTTTAAAGCTTCATTTCCCACTTGGCAGTGCTGATAATAGTGAAGACATTGGTGTGACATTGGTGGCAGTCCAGATGAACAAGACTAACAACCTCTCTTTCTCTTTCTGAAGGACATTAATGTAGTTTCTAGAGAGTTAATTTTATTCTTTGCCTTTTAAAAACTTCTATGCTGGGACCAGCAGTTGGCGTAATGGCTATGTCACTGGACTCCCACGTAGTGGACTGCGGTTCGAGTCCCGGACCCGGTGGCTTAAACTCACGCCGGGCGCATGTGCGTGCATGCCTAAGATCCCGAGAGGAGAATGAAGGAGAAGGGATTGCGGCGTGGCCATCCCCCCTGGGGTGATTTCTTGCTTTCTCTCTCTCTGTCTCTCTCTGTCTGTCTGGCGAGCGCACGTGCCCTATAGCAAAAAACCTCTCCAAAAAAAAAAAAAAAAAAATTCCTGTGCTTACACAAGCACACTTAAAAGATAATTTTTTATTCAGATATTTTATTTTTTCTCTCTTTTCTTTTTTAAAGGTTGACAAAAACTACCTCTCTGGGAGTAAATATAAGAGAACTTATTTTCCCAGGGAAGGGTTCTATCTGTTGTACAAGAAGACTTCCGATCTGTAGCCTGGCCACGGAATGTCAACGAAAAATGTCAAATGTCAACTATTTCCCCCCCCCCTCTAGGCTCTTTGGTGTGTACCATTGCCAGAAACAGAGAGAGAACAGAAAGTGAGAAAGCACCCCTTAGGGGGCTGGCCGTGCCATTAACCCTTCTCCTCCTTTCTCCTCTCGGAATTTTGGGCACACACACACATGCGCCCAGTGTGTTTTTCAAGCTGCTGGATCCAGGACTCAAACCTCAGAATAGAACTTATGGGATCCAACTGCCTTAACCTCCATGCCACCTGTTGCCATGAGATTTAACTCTTGAAAGCTTTCTCTAGTATCTTCTTTTATCATAAGCTCAAAACAGTGAAGCATTCTGGACTTTACTGCTTGATTTTGTCCTTTGAGTAACTCCTTTGTCCACCAAAAGTATACTTTCTTCCCTTTGAATAATCTCTTAAATTACTATTACATTGCAAAAGGTCTGAAACGTCAACCCCACGATAATCTCTTTCTTCACAGTTTATGCTTTCATATATCATTGGTCCTAGACTTATTTAGACAGTTTTTAAGTTTAAAAATTAAAACTAACATAAGAAGAAAAATAGAGTTACGGTCGAATACTGGACAGTAGAGCTGAGAGAAGGAATAGGGAAACGTGCTTTTTATTTTGTTTTGTTTTGCTTTGATCCAAAGAAAAATTGGACTCCTGCAACATCAAGACTAATCTTGTTTGTGTGTTTTTCACATTATAGAATGCCTTGGCATTAACTACCCTTTTGTTTTTATTAAAAATAAATTACTAATTAAAATCAATTTACTAAAAACAAGTATGTTGTGCTTTAAATAATAACCTTTTGTGTTATAAAATAAAGAGCTTGATTTCTGATCTCTGTGTCTCTGTGAGTATCCTTGAAGAACCAAAGACCTGGTTAGTAGCTTGGGCAGATAGAAAGTGGATCTCAGAGTTTTCTCAACTCTGGCCTCCCTCACAGGAGAACTAGTTTTTCAACTGAAACTTGCCATGCGTGACCCTGAGTAGAGGGTCACTCTTTGGAGATTTTTTTTCCTAGTTGTTATACTTTGGCAATGTTTGTTTGTGGTATTCTTTTCATTTCTTGCCTTCTAACTAAAAACATTAAGAGTGATACTTAAGATGTATTATTTTTTAGACTCAACCACATCGGTGCAGGTGGTAGGGCATCACTGCAATGATAATGGAGTCATATGGAAAGGCCCTGGGTTCGAATCTCAGGTTGACCTGAACATACTGGGCATGTGGCAGGTGCACCTGCAGTTTGGGCTAGCCGGGAGGCTTTGGGGGAATGGATTATGGTGTCACAAGACCTTATAAAAGGTACCCATTTGTCTCTGTCTCTTTGTCTCTCATGAAAAAAATAAGTAAAATAATTTTTTAATTAAATAATAACCTTTTGTGTTATAAAATAAAAAGCTTGATTTCTGATCTCTGTGTCTCTGTGTGTAGCCTTGAAGAACCAAAGACCTGGATAGTAGCAGCTAGCTTGGGCAGATAGAAAGTGGATCTCAGAGTTTTCTCAACTCTGGCCTCCCTCACCGG